CTTACTTGTAGCCTGTAGCCTTCCTCCCCCATGTCCTGCTGTAGCCTGTAACCTTCCTCCCCATGTGCTTGTTGCCTGTAACCTTCCTCCCCCATGTCCTGCTTTTTTGCCAGCCTTTCGCCCCATGCCCTGCTTGTAGTCTTCCTCCCTATGTCTTCTTGTAGCCTGCAGCCTTTCAACCCATGTCCTGCTTGTAGCCTGTAGCCTTCCTCCCCCCATGTCCTGCTTGTAGCCTATTGCCTTTCACCCCCATTTTAAGTCCCCCTTCATCACTCCTCATCACCACCTCCACCCTCACCACTTTCACCACCACCCTCAACCAGCACCATCACTGTCACCATCAACCATCCTCACCATCATCACCCACACCATTACCACTCTTACCCACAACATCACCACTGTCGCCACCAGCCTTACCCACACCACCCTCACTACCCACACCACCCTCACTACCCACACCACCCACACCATCCTCACTACCCTCACCACCCTCACTACCCTCACCACTACCCTCACCACCCTCACTACCCTCACCACTACCATCACTCCTAAACTTCTTTCTTTCCCATCCTGGTCATCAAAAAGGACCTCTACGCTGGCTTCACAACACTCCCCTCCTCACACACTATATAATCTGCCTCTGTCGGGTGTCGTTCACTAGTTGCCGCTGGACACTGACGACGATACGACCCACGAGACTGACGAGGTGGAACCAAAGTTTGCCCTCCGTTGATCTCAGCGTTTTGGTGTGAGGAAGGAGAAGGAGAGGAGGGAGAATAAAGAGAGGAGGGAAAAGGATGAGGAGAGGAGCAGATGGATAATAAAGGGAGGGGGAAAGAAGGAGGAGAAATAGAATGGGAGAGTGGAAAAAGAAGAAGTTGGAGATGACCGAACAAAGAAAGAAGGAAGGAAATAGTTATTTATATAAATAAGGAGGAAGGGAAACAGGAGAACGAACAAGAAGAGGAAGAATAGGAAGAACAAGAGGAGAGAGAGAGAGAGAGAGAGAGAGAGAGAGAGAGAGAGAGAGAGAGAGAGAGAGAGAGAAGGGGGGCGGATGGAGGAAGAGTGTTAGAGGAGGGAGAGAGAGAGAGTGGTGGTAGTTACCTCACAGTGGACGTCTACAATTTATAACTTTGGCGACCTTTTGTTGTCCTGGTCGGCTTTACGTTCGCATTTCACAGGTAAATGGTCGTGTTTATTAGGTAGTTCCCGCCGTGTTATTCTTCCTATAAGTTTGTCTATGATTCACTTCGATGTGGGATTTATTGTTGAGCCGTTAGAACTCTCTCCATCAGAAGGCGAAGAAGAGATTAGATCGTTCATAGAGAAAAATATGGTGTGGTTACGAGTAAACATCTATACCAAGTAAGAGTACACAGAGGTAGAAGGAAGCGAAACTATCATTATCAGACTATGAGATTAATCCGTCATAAAAAGGTTCATGTTTTCCCAGCAACGTCATACCGTGAATACCAGTGGAAAAAAGTGGAAATAAAAAGTTCGGTGGACCATGAGTGAGCCCCGTATAGTAGCTCAGCGTGTTATGAGGGACGCATCTGTGGGAATCTGGCCTCGTCTGGTCTCACCTGGCCTCGTTCAGTTTCACCTGGGTTGTGTTTACCTGGTAATTAAGCTATCTTAAACCAATGCTAATCCAGAAGCCTCGCTGTTTATAATACCGGTAGCACCGAGAAAGTTTGTGTTCTTAAAGACGTATAATCGTTTTACAGCTCCAATAATCTTCCTCGTGCTGCCGTAATGACATAAACAATGTCATTATGTTCTATTAACAGCCATTGGAATCTTGATTATTTAAGAGCCCCGGGAAAGCCATAAAATGCTACTGGGGAATTATTTCATGAAGTAGACTGGAACGGAGTTAGATTCTTCTTCACGGGATACTAATGTCCCTTTCTTACATCGTCCCTTACCATATGCTTGTGTTCTGAGGTGAACGACACATCTGAGGAATTATTCCACGCAGCAGACTGTTAGATCGTTTTTCACGGAGCATTGAAGTCCTCCCTGGGAGCATTCCTCGCCACTGTTGGTTCCTTCGCCCTCCTGTGTTTTGACGTGTGGTCGGGGAGGCCTCATCCACGCTTTGTTGTAGAGGAGCGTCGGCCACACACCTGAGTACCTGAGCTCCCCTGACGTATTGTTGTGTAAAGTCCTCCACCGCCTCTTGATGTGTTGTTGGTAGTCTGACAGGGGAAGTCCTGATTTAGAAAAGATATAGAGCTATTTCTGGACGTCTGCTGCATCTGTGATGCGAGGATTGGCAAGTTCTTGGTAGACAATTAGAAGCGAATATATAGAAGTGATCCCATGATCATGTGACCTGGATGACTTCTTAAGAGAAAATCTGTCAAGGTTTTTTTCCATATAACACTGAGTTTTTCTTGTAAATATGTTTTTGCCACAAATCCACTAACTACCAAAACAAAAACAAATGAAGAAATTATTCTGCAAACATTAATTCCTTGCGTGTTTTTCCATATTCAGCCTCTGTAACGTAAGTACCAGGAAGACAAGAAAGTTCATCGATGCATTTTATGGGCAGATCAGGGTTTGGTTTCCTCGGACCATTCACTCTTGTTTCTTTGATCAGCTCAAGGGTGGATTTTTCTGAGCCGTTCAGTAGTGGGCAGGTAAGCCGTAAGGGTGTGGGCAGGGCATCAGCGGGTGCTGGAGGAGACACAGTGAGGCAACGGGGCCTGACGACCCTGGGGTGACGCCTCCACAATACACCGGAAAATGTGATGGAGACGATCGACCCTCGACTGGTGGATGCTGCTAAGGCGAAATATGTCGTCCCCTTGTTATGTCCTTTACGTCATTCCCTCCTTTTCATACAACTGTTTTCTTCACTTCAAGAGGCCACGTGAGCCAGTCTACAGTTACTCTCCCAAACATATCTTTTGCTCCTACGTTTCTGCAAAACTAGTTTACTGTGTCACAAAAGAGACTTTAGAGGCCACATACGTTAGGTATCAGGAGAGGGTGGTGGTGGGTGTAGGACTGCCAGAAAGGTAGAGGGAAATGGGTAAGGTGAAAGACGATACCCTTCGAGGTACGTGAAAGAGGATTAGTGGGCAACAGGTCAGCGGCCGATACCGATTTTTTTAGTGGGTCAGGATTCTTCTTTGTGGCCGAGTGTTGGAGGAGGAGCCCAGAGACCCTCACCTCCTGTAACCTGAGTCGATCTCAGGGTGTTATCTGTGATCTCAAGCTGTAACTCGGGTTGTAGAGGGTTATCTTGACCAAGGATCATGGGGGAGTAGGGGTTGGAGTGTAAGTTTGACTGTTGTACTGGTCCGCCTCTGATAATAAGTTCAGCTCAGATATCCTGGTTACTGATTAACAATGGCATAACTGATACGTGTATAGTAAAGCAGCTACCAAATAGGGAGGTACTACCGCCTGGGAAGATAATGGAAGCATAATGTATTGTCTAATGGTAGACCCTGCTGCCATATGGCATCACGAAAATTGTGACCAAGTCCCAGGTTGCTGATCTGACTTTCTACCTCATCTACACACAATTGCAGGTCTCAATTGTTTCTCTTACTTTGACAACACAACATACATATATTGTTTCTCACTTTTGATGTTTTTTTTCAATTTTGTATTTCTTTATTATTATTATTATTATTATTATTATTATTATTATTATTATTATTATTATTATTATTATTATTATTATTATTATTATTATTATTATTATTATTATTATTATTACAGGGTAACGATGGGCGTTATTTTGTACATCTATCTATTTGTTGCATGTGTAGTGTGCACGTAGGCTTAAATATCGATGCAAGAACGGTTTATGTTAGGCGTGTGGGCGGAGGGGGGGGGAGGTGAAATACATAAGAACATAAGAAAATAAAGCGTCTGCAATAGGCCGGTTGGCCTGTGCATGGCAGCTCGTGTCGGGAGGTACTACCACTCTATCATCCATGAATCTATCTAGCCTCCTTTTAAAACTTTCCAGCGTTTCAGCACTTACTACAAAGTTGCTAAGCTTGTTCCACTCGTCCACCACCCTATTTGTGAACCAGTTCCTTCCTATCTCCCTCCTAAACCTAAACTTCTCCAACTTAAATCCGTTGCTACGAGTCCTATCCTGCTCGGATATTATAAGAACTTTATCTATATCGCCCTTATTGATTCCTTTGACCCACTTAAATACTGTCACCGAAAGAGTTTTACGCATATTTATAACATCACTGTTTGCCCCTTGAGTAGATGGCAGGCGTAGGTAAAGGGGATAGGTGGTGATGGTGATAGTGGGAGGGCAGGTGGTGGTGCAGGAGGGTGGGAGGACAGGCCGGCGTAAGTGGGAGGGGATCATCCAGCTTGGAGAGGTAGAGACTCGCGTGCCAGACCACCCCGCCTCTAGCGTCCAGTTTCACGCCAGATGCTGAACTCGGCTGTCAGGTCGTCAATACTCGGTGGCCACACAGTGTAAAATATCCCTCCAGCCAGACCTTATGGCAACTTGAGACGCCAAACATATGTTCCTCTAGCCGGTAGGGGTTATTCTTCTTATGCATTTTTTTTTTCGCGAGCGTTATATTACCTGATGTTTATTTGTCTTTGGTAAAAATGGACGGGAATTAGCAGTGAATAATTAAGGCTTCCGATTATTTTTGTACGCCAACGTGACCATTAATACTCTCTCTCTCTCTCTCTCTCTCTCTCTCTCTCTCTCTCTCTCTCTCTCTCTCTCTCTCTCAAGGAATTTTTTACCGAACACGCGACAACGGGAACTTACTATTTCTTAACAATTCTTTCCACAATCATTCCTAATATGTCTCATTAAGCTAAGTAACAGGCAAAAAAAATAAGATTCCCTAAGTATAACATCAGGAGAAATAGAATATAAATCAGAATAGGACACAAGGATTCACAGAGATGATGAACATACAGTCAGGCTCCCACAGTAGGACACCAGGACACCTGTCTCACCAACTCTCTCTCCTCTCTTTCAGGTGACTTCTATCCGTGAGGACTTCAACGACCTTCTGAAGGCTCTGCCGGAAGGGACCGTGGCGGGCACCCCTGTGTCGTCTTCCCCACCAGGAGACAAGGTGGGTCCTCGTATACCTTTCTGTGTGTGTGTGTGTCACATGGGAGGTGGGAGGGAGGTCGGATAACAGCGGGAGGTGTGAGGGGGAGGGAGGAAGGGGTCGCGTCATGGCAGGTGATGGCGGCGGCAGGTGTCGCTAATTAGCTGGTCAGTGAGGCGGGAGGAGTGAAAGCCTTAATTACTCTCTGCTGCAAGACGACCACTCGGACGCTGTTGCAACGCCACTACAATACAACGCCACCACAACGCCGTTACAACGCTATCACAACGCCGTTACAACGCCACCACAACGCCGTTACAACGCCACCACAACGCCACCACAACGCCACCACAACGCCGTTACAACGCCACCATAACGGAACATCCATTGCGCATTTACTGGCAAGGTAACAAGGATGACCAAGAAGTTATCCGTCAGCTGTGTTATTGGCGATTTTTGTTACACGAACCGGAAGTTGAATGACGAGCCCATGACGGGAACGGAGGAGGGAGAAATATCCCTTAGTGGATCAGTCAGTCAGTCATCCAGTCAGTCAGTTAAAGAGTTCATAGAGTTTATTATCGCAACCAAATGTATGTTTACATATGACCAGAACAGCTGATCAGAGTAAACAAACTGCACCGGGTAGCGAGGTACAGGACAGCTGAGACCGTGGGAAGAGGCGAAGGTGGGGGAGGAATAAGTGGATAAGGAGAGGAGAAAGCGGGATGAAGAGGAGGATCAGGAGGAAGTGGAAGATGAGGAGGAAGAGGGGGATGAGGAGGAAGGAGTATTAGAATAAGAGGCGAAACTGACACATCTCCTTAACACTTACCTTAACACGATCCATCTCATACATTTGGGTAATACACACCACACGAACTCATAAGCCCTACCCAGAGAATATACACATGACGCACTAACATCAACTCTGTTGTCTATACCAGGTCACTCACACGCGACAACCATACGCATAAATTACGCACGCTTGAGCACCCACGAGCATCAATCCCATGCCTTGTGTCAGCTATGTAAAACAGAGGTGGCAAAAGGACATAGCGTAACCTCCCCCACCTCCTCCTCCCTGCTTCACACCTCTCATTAACAGTGGAACAATAACCAGGCAGGGCCGGATTTAGGAGTGGGCAAAGTGGGCAGCTGCCCAGGGGCCTCCACAATCTGGGGCCTCCACATATTACAATATTTTATTTATTTGTTTATTCATTTGTACACAATCAATAAATATACAGTTAATTAAAAATTTCTCACTGTTCAATTTTCCTCAATATAACTGCATATGGCTTCAAAATTTTCCAAAGAAGTGTTCAAATTTCAAAATTTTCCCGGGGGGCTTACAGCGCCCCCCGGAACTCCCAGATGCGTAGGCTCGCTTCACTCGCGACCCCACCCTCTTGGGTAGTTATAATGAGGGGGGCCTCCACAAAGAGGCTGCCCAGTGCCCATGGGCCTCCACAGGTCTAAATCCGGCACTGTAACCAGGTACTCCCTCCTTCCCCCCTCCTCCTTTACCTCCTTCCTATCCTCCTCCTCCTTTCCTCCCACCACACCTCATTACGCTTGTTCTTATCAAGTGATCTGCCGGAAACAGTGACGAAACCTAATGTATAATCAAACGAATTATCGCTCCCCCTTGAGACGTTCGGCTACCGATTCTCAATCATTCTTACGATAGATTCTTTTTCCTGACCATAACATAGAGTCATCCATTTTAGGCTGTAAGTACCGCAGGTAAATATGTAAAGATGGACTGTGTTATGACATCTACACACACACAAAACTACTTAAAATATCCCAAGAGTTACCAGAATTAACTTACACAACACACCAGACAGTCTCGTAAAACCTTTCCGATTTATATACCACAATAACCATGAAAAAAAAACCCTGGCAACCTCCCCCGAATTACGTAGTGGGAAAACTTGTCCAATTAACCTCAATTATTTTGTCAACACAACCTGGATGGATGAAACGTTCCTAATTATTATTGTAAGTACGGAGCGGGACCTTGAATTAACGAGTCGTATTATAATATGTCCGTCAATTTATTTAATTTTACTACTGGTGTCTTTTTTTCTTTTCTCTCTCTCCTGTTTGTTTTTTGTTTTTCTCTATTTTCTGTCTTTTCTCTCTTTCTTTGTCCATTCTGTGTATGTTATTGGTTAGTTTCTCTCGCTTTCTCCATCCGCTAATGTTTGTTTTTACCTTAGTTTCTGCCTTAATTATATTCGTTTTCTTTGTTGGTTTTAATTTTGGGGGAGATGAGAAACAAGAAAATTATTTAGAGAGTTTATAGAGAGAGAGAGAGAGAAGGGGGGAGGGGGTATTGGTTACTGTATACTGGACAAGCTCTTGGTACAATTATCTCTCACTCGTCCCTGTGCGAGGTTGCGACATAACCTTGTACTAGTACAGTATTCACCTGTACCCTGCTGCTTTCCTGCCTTGTACCCCCAACAACAATTATTACCGTCCCTACCACCACTACCACCACCTCGACTACCACCACTAACACTACTACCACTACAACAACCGCCACTACTACTACCACTAACACCACCACTGCCACTCCCACCACCACCATCCCCACCACCACCCATAAAAAAGGTTTGAAGGTCACAGCTGCACCTGTTGGACACCTGCCGAGCTATAGGTGTGTGTGTGTGTGTGTGTGTGTGTGTAAGAGCTATCTCGCCCCCATCCTTCATTTCGCCTTGGGTAGCCTCCGTCAGGTAACCCAAGACTCCTACAGAAGATAAGAACTACGCCTTTCCTCTCATCCCACACAAACACCCGAAGGAACAAACTTAACCCCACATCACCCAGACAGATAAAAAAAGAACCAGCTTACCCCACTGTGACCCGCTACGTCCCACAGCCAGATTGTCCCTCAACACCTGCTTAGACCATGTTGCCCCGTCCCCCCACCCCTCCCCAGCGTCGGTCACACTCAACACCTGCCTAGCCAGAGGGTAGTGTGGCAAAGGTCAAGGTTATGCAATACACGCAAGACGAATCCAGTCAATCCACCAAGCAGCGTCTTACCTTAAGTTGCCGTCCTAGTGAAGCCTCATCCTCCTTGGCCCACACAGCCACCTGCCAATACCCGCGACGGTGATTGGTCAGTGACTCACCTGAAGGAGAAATAAAAAAAGACTCGATCAATAGGTCGTGTTTATAGACGAGACGAGAGACAGAGGAACATGTCGGGCACCTGCTCAGTAGTGTTAAGGACGGTGGTGGAGATATTTAGGCTGAGAGATGGATGGATAGATAGATAGATAGATAGATAGATAGATAGATAGGTAACAGAGAGTCAAGTAGGTGGATAGTTAAATAGATAAAAAAATAGATAACTAGATGAACAAATAAACAAACATGTGGAAAGATGGATAAAGAGATAAATGGATAATCATATAAGCTGATAGATTGATAGTAAATAGACAACTAAACGTACGAATAAATAATAAGATTGATAGATAAATAGATAGATGAGAATATAGAAAGATAGCAAAGTAATCAGATAGAAAAGAATATGGAGACATACAGATTAACGGAGGAGAGATGAACACACACACGCACACACGCACACACACACACACACACACACACACACACACACACACACACACACACACACACACACACACACACACGCACACACACACACACACACACACACACACACACACACACACACACACACACACGCACACACACACACACACACACACACACACACACACACACACACACACACACACACACACACACACACACACACACACACACACACACACGCACACACACACACACACACACACACACACACACACACACACACACACACACACACACACACACACACACACACACACACACACACACACACACACACACAGTAAATGTTACGTCTCCCTGACTCATGTGTGTTGATCATCCGAGTAAGGTAAAACTGGTCAGGTAGTGTGGTGTGGTGATGGGGAGAGGTGCAGTGTAATGGTGATGCTGGTGATGGTGGTGTGATGGGGGAGAGGTGTAATGGTGATGTTGGTGATGGTGGTGATGGTGATGGTGCAGTGTGGTGGTGTTGGTAATGGTAGAGGATGTGCAGTGTGGTGGTGGTGACGGGGAGTGAGTCAGCATTGTGGAGTGACCACGTCTCTTTTTTCTTCCTCCTGTTTGGAGAGAGAGAGAGAGAGAGAGAGAGAGAGAGAGAGAGAGAGAGAGAGAGAGCCACCACACAGCACATGGTCCATTGCCTAAGTGGAAGCTCTCGATTTAATCCAAACCTAACTTTACATCAAGCTAACCTAACCTAACCTAACCTAACCTAACCTAGCCTAACCTAACCTAGACTAACCTAACCTAACCTAACCTAACCTAACCTAACCTAACCTAACCTAGCCTAACCTAACCGAACCTAGACTAACCTAACCTAACCTAGACTAACCTAACCTAGACTAACCTAACCTAACCTATACATATTAATAAACGGACAGGCAGATAACTAGACAGAAACACAGACAAATACAGATAAAGACAGGCCACATGCACAAACAGCCACACACACACACACAGACTCCCCAGCCATACACGCACACAGAGACACACAGAGACAGACAGTTAGATACACACAGAAAGACAGCCTATATACACACACACACACACACACACACACACACACACACACACACACACACACACACACACACACACACACACACACACACACACACACACACACAGACAACCAGACACATACATAAGGACACACCACACACACACACACAGACAGGAGGGCGGGGCACTAGGGCACGAGGGAGGCCTTGGGGAGAGGAACAATTACTGTGAGGTGACGGCGCCGCTTGCCTCCCTCAGCACCTGCCGCTGAAGAATGGTGCTCCGCCGCGGGCACGCACGGAGGACGCCCACTCTCTGCCACCGTGGCTCGTGGGTGGGGCTAGGTGGGTGTAGGGAGGGGGTAGGGGGTAGGGGTAGGGAGAAAATCAGAGGAGGATGAGTACAGGGGAAGACGGGTGGGGGGAGGATGCTGGGTGTTAGTGGACTGTGCATTATGATTTGTAGTGTGGTTGTGTGTGTGTAAATAGAGACTCTATCTATCCATCTATCTATATATCTATCTATCTATCTGTCTATCTGTCTGTCTATCTGTCTGTCTGTCTATCCTTTGCTTCCACTCACATACCTCCTCACACACCCTCTACACACCTGCTGTTAAATGTCTAAGGTGTAAGAATGTTGCACCGAGTAATTATTTCATACTAGGTCACACTTTAATGTCTTTATTTCTAATTTATATTTAAGTTCAGATTACAAAAAATATTGAGAAACATGAGTCGAGGTTCAGGGAGGTGTGGTGTATAATACTCTACCTATACACGCCTTGGTGCAGAGAAACACACATATAGCCTTAAGGTACCATAAAAGTTAGTCATTTACTTGTATATTCTGTCATAATTAACAACAAAGTCTCGGAGACAGGGTATAGATATTCATAGCTGTACTGAAATAATGTACTAATGTCGTTATTCTCTTGCAGAAGGCTGTGGGAGGCGCTACAGAAGGTGTGGTGGCGGCGGTGGCTCGTGCCTCACAGGGTCGTCAGGCAAAGCGCATCTCCGCCCTGGAGCAGCGCGCAGACAGCTTCGACTTTGCTCTCACTCGCTCCCAAAAGAAGGTGAGTGACGCACTGACGCCCGGCTGAGTGTTTGACAGGTTTGGTCCTCAGTAACTGGGAACTTGTTGAATTAAACAACAATTATACTGCTAAGTAATAAATTATTAACACACTGAAACACAAAACAATTTTCTTTCCAAAATTATCTATATTCACCCTAGAGTTTATTTCCTTCAGAAACGCGTTAAATCCATAACGAGTGTAAACTTACAACAGTTGGGTCAAGTCCTCTCATGTATGTTGTGTCAGAGCTGAGTGTTAGTCCGAATGTCTAATGTTCAGTATTTCATTTTATTCTCGAGTTTTACTAATGTGTCAATGTCTCGCCGCAGTTGTCGTCGTTGTCTCCTGGCTCAGGGAGTGACGAACGACTGGCTGAGGTGGCTGAGGCAGAGCGACAACTGGAGACTAAAGTGGAGGCCGCGACGACAGGCGTTGGGGAGGTGAAGTCGTCCTCCGTCAAGTTACTTGCCGCCCTCGAGGATCTAGAGGCCAGGCTGGAGAAAGAGGTAACGGAGATGAAGCAGGAGGTAGCTAAGTTGGAATTCACAGTGGCCCAGTCAGCGGCGGAGAGACAGAATGGTGAAGACGACGCCCGCGTAGCTCACGACGACACCTCCGCCCTACGAACAGACTTGCAGGCTGTATCCAGACGCCTAGACCAACTCAACCTCAAGACGGCTGCTATAGAGGGACGCAAACTCGACGACGAGGTTTCTGTTGCCCAATGTCGCACGCAACAACTAACCCTCGACCTCAGAATGAACGACACTTTAGAACGCTTACAGCATGTTGAGGAACGTTTACGTCGTTCTCACGCTCAAGGTGGACACAGTCATTACCTCAGGCCGTGGAGGGACTCGGTTGACGATACTTTGAGGGAGGTGAAGAGAAAGCGTCGCGACCTGTCACCGAGTGGCTAGTGCCAGAAGGGAGGGTGAGGACGGGGCGGGGAGCTGTGTGCCTTCCATATCAACCCCATACACATACAACCTCACAGTACTGCTATTAACACAGAAAAAACCTTTGACACAGATTAATCTAGCCCCAATGTCTGTCTCTGTGTCGTCTGCACCTACAACACAACTACTCGCATAACCTTTTAGTGCCTGTTATTTGTACAAGAAAAAAGAGGAAAAATTCTTCATATACTCTGTCGCAGCTCTGTACTACACCAGCTCTACCGATCGTCTCCTTACTTCACTTACTTATTGAGTTACCAAACACACTGTCCCTCTCTTCCCCCTGTACCTCTCGACCTTTCCCCTCCATCAAGTTGTCCCTTAGTTATCCCTCCTCTCCTTACGTCTTCCTGCTACCTCCACTTTTTCCCCACCGCTTCCCGCCACGGCCCTCCTACCTTCTTCACTGTCCTCCACAGCTTTCCCACAGCTTCCACTGCCCTCCCTCCCTCCTTCACCTCTTCAACGTAGTGCCTGAATGAACGTTTTGGTCATCAGTTCCTAGTCACAGGAGAAAAAGGATGAAATATATATAATTATTAAATTGAATGAAGATTTATGTAAAGATGCGTCTTTTTTAACTTAGCTTGAGTCCCCCAAAGAACTTTGTTTCAACACTATTTATATGTAACAACTTTGAAGAGTGATTTAACTTCTTAAGTAGGATTCTAAGTAGTATTTTGTTACTTTAAGTAGTCGAGAAGTATCCCCAATCAGTGCTCCATATTATGCCTCTGTTGATATAATCATAGATGACGACAGATAGAGTAAGTATAATCAGGTGAAGAAGATTGTGTTTCACTGGCTCACAGAAGCTACGACTAACACTGTCACAACGCCATGAAACAAATGTGGTTTTTGGGGAAGTTCAAGCTCAATAATAGTGTATATGACGGTAGAATTAAACCAGTATTATATGCCAATTACATGTAAACCATTGTAGTCCCGTGTCCAATGTCCAATGTGTCCACTGTATATTGTGTGCGTTGTCCATTGTGCCCAATGTCTAATTCTAACGTCTAATAAATTCAGTATTGTCCAGAGCCTATTGGGTCCAATGTTTATCGCGTTCAATGTCAGGTGTACCCAGTGTCTATTGTGTCCAATATTCAATGTCTAATGTCCATTGTGTTATGTGTGTAAGACACATTATCTCTGATCTCGAACAAGAATTATATAGCTAAAGACCCACCTCCAGGGGAAACAGCGGCGACTCACAGGGAAACTAACGTAAAATATATATTATTTTATTGCCATATAAATTAGGATGGTTATAAACTAAACTAAATTCTACTTACTCCTACGGTCCTTAGCGACTGATACAATTCTGTGTAAGGTGATTGTCTAGAATTTTGAGTTGCAACTAATCAACTTCAAGAAATTGTGATGGTTGCTAAGGACTTCAAGAGTGGGTGGATCTTAGCTGGTAAATCGATTGGTTTAGGTCCTCCAGGACCCCCTTCAATGTGTCCTACAAGTTGGATTTTCCTGACTGTGGCCCAGAGTGCTTCTCCTGCTGGTGGTGGTGACGGGTGTTGCCTGAAGTGTCTTGGTGGTGTAACAGCAGCAGTAAGCTACAAAAGACTGTCTGTCTCGGTCCTTGTACATAGTGTATATATCTACGTTCCCTGTACAGAATATTTTTATATGTTGAATAAAATTGATCGTGGTTGATATGTGACTTTCATTGATGTTCCTTTAGTTTAAAATAACACAGAATTTTTTTGAATCAAATTAACATCACTGAGCTACTGATACAGGGTAACAGTATCTTAATTATTGATGACAAGTGCATTTAATAACTTGACTACGCAGTAATACATTATCTTACCACCAACACCTACACTAGCTGCTGATTTCCGGACCCTCTGGAAAAACAACCTTATGATGAACACAAAATCCATCGTCATTGTTGACTGTTTGTTTTCCATCACCCAGAATGTAAAGCAGAAAAACAAAACAGTTAGAGAATAGTATAAAACGAGATGATAGTCAGCTTTGGGAGGAAGGAGAGTTTATAACCTGTATACGTTATATGACTGGTGAGACAACTCATCATCAGTCATATACGCTGACTTGGTTTGTGCATCCTGGAACCGTCACTGTTATCAGATGATGAGACAAACAATGGCCAGCTGATAAAACAGACAAAGACGATCAATACCTTTATCAGCAGATAGATGTTAACAAAGACAATCACCAACTCTATCAGATGTATATTGCCAACACAGGCGGCCACACTGATAATAAAACAAAAGCGCTCGTGTACTATATCAGCTGATGATAAAAATTATAAAGACTGTATGACCAGTCTAGGATTTTATCTCCTTTTGTTTTTGTTTTACAATAATAAATGAATGTTCCCACGACCTGAACCTTTAACCTTATCAGCTAAAACACAAAAACACAATTCATATGATGTCAACAACACCAAGCTTGGGTTAGCTTACTCTACCCATTACTGATTTACGACGCAATAACAGAGTCTGACAGACACAGAATGACGAGTCCAAGTACTCTAAACAGATGACATTACGTCTTATTGATACAGAATACAGTATCACCCTAACGCTACCTGGGGGTTAGGTTAGGTTAGCGTTAGGATGGTTATTCTTAAAGGTGAGACAGGCTGGGGGGAATAATCATCACGTAATCTGAATATTCCTTAGTTAGCTGAGGATGTAAACATAAAACGTGTTGTTGAAATTTTGAAGAAAATATATTTTTAGAAAAAGTTGCCAAATTACTAAGTCTTGCCGTTTGAGGGTTAAATCAGATTAATCTTTTCATTATGTTAGTTCAAACAAGCTTCAACATGCTATTACGTGATCTGGCCTCAAAAATTACACCTGATGACCTGTAAGTGACACGCGACACTAATTTGGGGTCATTAGAGCGTACAATTACCAGATATTGATCCTTTAGTGGCCGGGTTATTAGTCAGCATGTTAACGAGTGCGCGTATTGAGGCTTTGAACGAAGTCGATGTTTTATCCCTGTAGTTACAATACTCTTTAATGTGGTGATCCGGTCCCAGAAATTAAATATATGGTAATTATGCGTAAACAGAGGTGGATAATGAGTAGGTGGCAAGTTGTGAAAGAATGGGTAGGTGGGTAGGCAGGGGGTACAAGAAAGGTGGGGTGGGCAAGCAAGAGAGTGTAGGGTGGGCAAGCAAAAGAGTGTGGGGTGGATAAGCATGAGAGGGTGGGGTGGGGTGGGCAGGTGAGATCCACAACAAAAACCCACCATCACATTATTGACATGAGGACTCGCACAACCTCCCACCCCACCCGCCCACCGCCTCACCAGCCTCGCCCGTTCCTGGGACCGTGAATTGAAAAGTTTAATAGATGACGTTTTCCTATTTGATGTCCTGCACAGCTGCCTCCCTACCCCCTCTACACCCCCACCCCCCACACCCTCCTCCCGGGTAAATCATCGATTAACTTTCTACCAAATTTATAATGTTCTCTGTTCACAAGACAATCGCAATATGAACATTCGTAAATAATCACTATGGTTAAAGGCAATAAAAAAGGGGGAAATTTTATATACTGTGGAACAATGAAATGACTGATTGCATTGGTATGACGAGAGAGAAATCAGACCCAGCAACCCTCATGCTCACAGATCATATCTATCAAAGAATCGATTTTTTTTTTCGTAGTCTCGTATCATCACTGACGGCTCCCACGCTTATGAACGTGAGAATGTACCCTTTCCCCCACCCCCTCCCTAATAGTCACGTGGGACTGTTTTAGTTCCAGTTATAAATTTACGCTGGTGATTTTAGTCCACAAGTAAAATTAACAATTTCATGGGAATTGTTTTGGTTGTTATGATTGTAGATGTACAATTCGTTAGGTTTATAAAATTCTAAAAAAAATGAGTCTGAATACCTGAAGTAATACTCTACAAGACAGACATTACTGGGGTATTGTCTTTGGATTTAAGCCTTAAGGTAAGTAAATAAACGGTGAATATTAAGGAAAATTATAAGATCATCAGCAAATGTTGACGCCAGAAGATATTACCCACAATCACCGTCACAACTACACTCTAGCGTGAACGGGTTTTTGTCAGCAATGGCGACTTAATTTCTGTGAGACTGTAAACAACCAGCACGTGCATGCACACATACACGCAGGTGCACACACGTTCACGCACACGTTAACACTCACGCACGCATTCATCTCTCATGCACACACAAATATACACTTTCAAATGCATGCATAATTATGTTCAAGCACACACAGCCACACACACACAAACATATCTTAATTTACTTAGTAAAAATAAAAAAGTACGAACATACGTATATAAATATTTACCGAGGATAACACATAAAGTAAGGGGATATTAGTGCAGGGTCTTTTTTCTAATGTGGCTCTTGTATCCATGCTACTATGCCACTACAAACAAACACGATGATCACTAGCTATCACTGTATAATTTATCCAGATCGTGTGAACTTGATTGCCTGATGAAAGATTATTTTCTCGTGTACTGTACTATAGTTTCCATTATATTTTATAGATCACCCTCGAATGAGGCTCGAAAAAAGAAAATGAAGACACATGCATTTTTAAAGAAAACGTAAACTAATTTAAGCCCAAACTTGTGATATGTATAACAGCAGTTGAGACTTATTTCTCCTGATATAAAACAGTTTCATTATCACTTATTAATGTATTGAAGGAATACATTTCTTGACTGACCAAATTAGACCTTCAGGGGCGGATCCAGAGGGGTCCTGGGGTCCAGACCTCCCTTTTCAGCAGAAAATTCCAATACGTACATTTTTTTTTTAAATGTAGTATTGCACTCATGCGTTTTTGTACAGTAAAAAATAATTACTATTGACCTCAGAATATATCCTAATATCAAGTGGACGTGGCATCAAAATGGGTGGACCCTCTGTGCTTGCCCCAACCACAACTTCCTGGACCCCCCCCCACCCATTTTAATATTCCTGGATCCTACTGTATTTATTTATTGTTCATAGTTCAGCCTATACCCCTCCTTTTATTTTTGTTTTCAATTCACCAAAATACTGAACGCACAGATGTCACAACCTACTTTTCCCGTCTTAAAATATTCAAATTACTTTTTTCCCTTTTCAAGAACACGGTTTGTTTCTTACTACAGACGCCCAGGCCTGGCACTTGACATTATTAGGGACCTGCCACGCTTTGCTATAAACAGATGAAATGTACCGGGAACTTTACCCCCACACACTCATCATTCTCTCACTTTATGTAACTTGACAAAACCTATGACCCTTCAGGCTTTTACGCCCTTAATGTACGAGTCATAAAGGCAAGTATGAACTTTGCATACTTCCCAGATGGGCGCTGTAAACGCTTCTGCGCTTCACCTTGCACAGGATGTAAGGGGGTGCCCAATAAACTAGTCCCCTCGGGGGCAAATCTGAATCTACAGACGCCACTATCAACTGCACCCAAACAACATATAAAATAACGGAGTTTAACTGAGTAATTAATTTTTCATAAAGCATCAATGTCACCTAAATTTCCATTTGATGACGGAATAAACTCTCTCAGTAGCTACTCGTTGGGTTGACAAACTACCCTGGCGGTGTTTAAATAGGATAATAAAAATATACTAAAAATTTAGTCAGAACAGAAGAACCAGTAGCGACAAAACCTTCCCTCACGGCGTCACTCAAGCAAATGGTTGAACAAATTCAATTTCAATTTCAATTGTTTATTCCTTGATCGAGGAAGCGGGATCCTAGTGCTGTCACTAGGTACCCCTGTACAATGACACCAGAGGTTGAACAAAGTATAAAATAGTTAAGGGAAAATTATATCATAATAACCTTTGTGAATCCACCTCTTGAATCAGTTAGCGGAAGATTTACCATAAAGAATCTTTCAGAATACAAGCCGTTAACGAATCACTTGAGAATCTTTGGCACTTCGAATTATCAGTGCATTATTGACGGGGGAATGAGTCACTTGATTGACAAATAACATACGAGAGACATGTGGAACAAATATTGTATATAATGACAAAAGGGAGAGGATCATTTAACAAGGAATTTCAGCACAGTAACGAAAGTGAGATTGGCAGGGAGTGAACACACAGGTTAGCTACGAGTTGACAATTTTACAATGGTTGGGATTGGGCTGTTGTATAGTGGTGTCGCGTGTGTGTGTGTGTGCGTTTTGCTGAGCACGTAAGTACAGTCTCACCCAAAAGTTCGTTAACTCTCCCAGCCAGCTATTGCTGTACTGCCTGCTTCAGATATATGAACTTGAGTCTGTCACTTCGAACCTTTAGATTTATTCGTTTCGGTTTTATGTTCTGGTTGGTACTGAGACAGTTTCAAACATCTGAAACAGGCAGTGCAGCAATAGCTGGCTGGGAGAGTTAACGAACTTTTGGGGGAGACTGTACTAGTCTCGAAAATATCTTATGATTTATATTACAGCTGCGTAACAAACAAAATAGTCTCTCACGATAGTATCCAAGTTACCCCTGGTTTGTATCACAGAAAATAGTAAACGCTTCAAAGGTTGTGTAAAGATCGCGTGAAGTTGGCTGGGGGACCCCTGGCCAACAGTCACACGGTCATTCACTGTGGTCTTTTTACTTACTTTTTACTTTTATCCTTTTCACTACTTGGGCGGTCAGTTACGTATTTGTTACACACTGTTGGCAAGTACTGGGCATGTACTGGTTCCTGAATGTATCTATACCTGTGCCAGTGTTGGTCAAGTCTTGTCTTGAAAGGGCTTACACTCGGTGCTGTTGCGATGTGAAATTTCTATTTCAGTGCTATACTGCGCATGCGTCGCCATGAGCAGAAGCAGAAAACATCCGTGCTACGTATCTAAACTGATTCCCCCGTGACCCATGAAAAACTACCAAGATTATAGAATATCCTCCAACTATTTGCTCAAAATTTTAGCTTACAAACGGTGGTTGCGGATTTTAGTTATTGCTGGTTGATTATATGTATATGTAGCTTAAAATAAGAAGAATATTGTTGGGAAAAATGTGTCTCCCACTTACCTAACCTCCCACTTTTTTTACACATGATACCCAAATCTTGCATATTATTTCTATATTAAATGGACTTTTGTCATAAAATTTAGTAAGACTTGTCTATTATTTAGGCCATCTATCTGTATCTAGGCCATGTGATAGACGTAGAATAGAGGGAGTATCAATTATCAGAAATAAAATGCCTCATTTCTCAATTATTTTATCTTTATTTGACATTCTTAATCAGCTTATACATTTATTATCTGGCAAGTTGACAATCACAACAATCATTTGGTGGTAATAACATGTTTTCCATATCATTAATTATTTTTGTTTATACCAATAGTGCACCTACAAAAAACTTTTAATATATTGGTTGATATTCAAAAAATATATTTAGAAAATCTTGAATATAGCCTAAATGTACAATTAATATAAATATGAATAATATTATTTAGTCCCATGATCTGATGGAATTAGTTTAAAGGAGCAATGTGGGAGACTATATTGGTGTTTGGAGTTGAGTACATTAAATGAAGGTTTATAAGAAATATGTTTTATTACAAGAAAGATCATGGTGCACAAGGGCATGGACACCTGCCTACAACAGATGGTGCACTACCTCAAGACTGGGAATTATTTATATTGTCACCAAGGTAGAGATAATGGACTCCGTAAGGCTGCAGTTAACTTTATTACTAAAGGTAAGTAAAACAGATTTCTAATGTTATTATTTTTATACACTCCTACTGCTCAAATAGGTATCTACTAAATCATACTATATCAAAGTTGAAGACATAATCATCCAGGTACAAGAAATAATGATAGAGATGTTAACAATATTGAGTCTACATAAATAATAAGTAATGGTTGCCCCTCGTGTTCGAGGATAGCTGACCCAAGGACCACCTAGGCGTGAATTTGTTTGTCGCCAACACAACGCCCTATATTAACGAGTTGCATGACCCAGTGTTAAGGAATAGTCAGAGAAAACCGGACAACTTCACTGGCTAACCATTAACATGCTGGATAGACATTGTGAAATGGTGTATAGTAACTTGCCTATAGTTTCACCTCGTCCGTTTGCGAAGCGAGCATGCTGACCATTGCACCACAGGTCGTTCAAAATTTTCTTGCCCCGAGTGAGGATCGAACTCACGACCTTGAGATTATGAGACTCACGCGCTGCCTACTGCGCCATCGAGGCTATATGAGGTGCTAATTCGGTCTAAAGATAATATTATCTCTATTATTTGTATTATCCTGACTAATATGACAGTTGTAATTTCAATTTCCCTCTGACTGGTCGCTGACTGTTACCTTGTTATTGAATGGAGCCATAAAAATATTCCCACATCATACTGACTATAAGTAAACATACATGATAGTGAAGACCATTACATAGTTGATTTGTTTGGCGTCCGTGACAGCTACAAGTGTTTAAAGGAAACTTGTTGAAAGAACGAAGGAAAGAGAACACAACAGACTTGGAAAATTAATATATTGAAGCAGAAGATGTGTGGTTTACTGAGGTTTACATAAAGTGATAATGATAACAACATTGGTTTACATACAGGGATAATGATAACGTTGGGTTTACAAACAATGAAAAAATAAATAACTTCGGGATTTCCATAATTGCCAAACAAGACAAGATATCAACAGTTTCTTACCAACAACAGTCTTCTAGCTCCTTAGATAACACACACACAGTCTTGTCTTGATTTTACCTTCATAGTTTACCTGTGGAAATGCAAATTGATCACAAACATAAAAATATCAACATATAAACAATTGTTAGTATATAGAGATTATATTGATTGATTATTATAGACCCCCCCAAAATTTTATATCAATCAAGCAATCAAACAAGATATAGGACCTTTGTTTAATTTGCGTTATGTGTGAGCTGAGACGAGAGAGGTGACGTCAGGGGGAAGACTCGACTGATGGAGGTGGTGGTGGTGAGGTCCTCGATGTTAACTCCGTCGGGTAGTTCCTATTGTACGTACTCTGTGCTGGAGGGGTGTAAAGGGGGGACTGGAGAGAGAGAAAGGGAGAGAGAGAGGAGAGAAAAAATACTGTGTAGAACAAGGGGAGGTGTTAAGAAAAAGACAAACATACAGATAAAGAAGGAACCAGATAAATATAAGAGATAAAGGAGAATAGAGAGAGAGAGAACTAGAGAGATAATAAGTGAGGGGAAGAGATAAAGGAAAAGGGATATATAGAAAAGATGAGTGATAAGAAAGAACACGAAATAACACAGAAGATGGCTATGAAAGTAGAAAAATAGAGGAATTAAGGAAGTAAGTGTGGGAATAAATGAAGTAAGTGTGGGAATAAAGGAAGTAAGTGTGGGAATAAAGGAAGCAAGGAACAAGAAAATATGGAAAGAAAACAAGAAAATGCATGACATAAACAGAACGGAGGAATGAAACAGTGGAATTAAAGAATGAAATAAGACAATAAAGATACGAGAAAGGGGAATGGAGAAGGACGAGGATTGTGAAGAAAGGAATCACAGGGATGAAGAAAAACAAGAGAGAATGAAAAAAAAATGGTATTAAAGGATGGAAACAGGAATGAAGTCAGAAAACAGGAGAATGAGGGAAGGAAACAGGGGAATGAAATATAGAAACAGGAACGGAAGATACAAACAATGGAATGAAGGAATGCACAGGGGAAACGGAGGAAGGCACAAAGGGAATGAAGAAAGTAAAACAAGGGAATGAAGGAAGGAAAAATTGGAATGAAGGAAAGGGAACAGGCGAATGAAATATAGAAACAGAAGAATGGAGGATAAAAACAAGGGAATGAAGAAAGGAAACAGGATAATCAAGGAAGGAAACAGGGGAATGATGGAAGGGGAACAGAGGAATGAAGGATGAAAACAAGGGAATGAAGGATGGAAACAGAGGAATGAAGGAAGGAACAGGATAACGAAGGATAGAAATAGAGGAATGAATGAAGGAAATAAAACAGGGGAATGAAGGGAGGAAAAAAGGGAATGAAGGAATGAAGGCTGAAAACAAGAGAGTGAAGGATGGAAACACGGAATTAAGGAAACAGGGGAATGAAAGAAGGAAATACGATAATGAAGGAAGGGGAACAGAGGAATGAAGGATGTAAACAAGGGAATGAAGGATGGAAACAGGGAATTGAGTAAACAGAGGAATGAAGGAAGGAAACAGGATAACGAAGGATAGAAATGGAGGATTGACTGAAGTAAATAGGGGAATAAGGAAATAAAACATGGGAATGAAGGTAGGAAAAAGGGAATGAAGGAATGAAGGATGAAAACAAGGGAGTGAAGGATGGAAACACGGAATTAAGGAAACAGGGAATGAAAGAAGGAAATGGGATAATGAAGGAAGGAAACAAGGAATGAAGGAAGAAAAAACGAAAACGTAGATAAGTCAGAGAGAAATAAAAAGGAAAAATGAGAAAAAGAAACAAAGGAATGAAGAAAGAAGAATATGACAAAATGAAGAGAACGAAGAAACACGAAGGGAATAGGGAAGGGAATGAAAGGGACAGAGGGAACAGGGGAACCTAAGAAGGGAATGGAAAAAAATAGGGATGAAATGAAGGGTAAAAGGGGAAAAATGAAGAGAATGAGAAAATAAAAAAATAAGGGGAAAAAAGTAGGAATGAAATGAAAAAAATAGGGAAGTAATTAAAGAAATAGGGAGGAAATAAAAGGAAGATGGGAAGAAATGAAGGAAATAGAGAAGAAATGTAGGAATAGAGGAAGAAATTAAAAGGAAATCCGAAGAAATTAAGGGAATAAGGGAAGAAATAAATGGAATAGGGAAGAAAGAAATGGCAAAAGAGGAATAGGAAAAATTAACGAAATAGAAGGAATAGGGGAAGAAATTGAGGGAATAGAAGGAACGGGGGAAGATATGAAGGGATTAGGGAGAATGAGGTAAGAAATGAAGGGAATAAGGGAATAAGTGAAGAAATAGAGAGAATAGAAAGAGATATAAAGGGAATAGGGGAAGAAATGGAGTGAAATAGGGATTATATATAGGAAATAAGGAAGAAATGAAGTAAACAGAAGGAATTTGGGAAGAAATTAAAGGAATAGAAGAAATAGGGGAAGAAATGAAGGAAATGGAGAGAATAGGAGAAGAAATGAAGGGGATAGGGGAAAATATGAAGGGAATAGATGGAATAGGGGAAGATATGAAAGAAATGGAGAATAAATGAAGGGACTAGAGAGAATAAAGGAAGATATGAAGGAAAGAGAGGAGAAATTAAATAAATAAAGGGAATCGGGGAAAATTTATGGAGGAAAAAGAGGGAATAAAGGAAGAAATGAATGGAAGAGGGAAAGAAATTAATGGAAAAGAAGAAATAGGGAAAGAAATTAAGGAAATAGAGGGAATATGGGAAGATGTGAAGGGAATAGATGAAATAGGAAAATAAATGAAGGGAATAGCAAGAATAGGGAAGGAAATGGAGGGAAGAGAGGAAATAGGGGAAGATATGAAGGGAATAGGGAAGAAATTAAAAGAATAGGGGAAGAATAAAAGAATTGTGAGAGAAGCAAAAAAAATAGGAAGATGTAAAGCGAAAATGGGGAGGAAATGAAAGGAATAGAGGGATTAGGGGAATAAATGAAGGGAATAGAGGAGATTGGGGAAGATGTGAAAGGAATAGAAGAAAAAAGGGAAGAAACGAAGGGAATAAGGGAATAAATGAAGGAAATAGGGAGAAGGTTAGAAAATAAAGGGAATACGGGAAGAAATGAGGGGAATAGATGGAATAGGAAAAAAGGGATGGAAGGAATAGGGGAAGAAATGGCGGAATAGAAGGAATAGGGGAAGAGATAAAGGGAATAGGGAATAGAGGGAGAATTAAAGGAAATGGGGGAAAATGAAAGGAATACAGGGGGTAAAGGAAGATACAAAGGGAACAGAAAGAATAGGGGAAGAAATGAAGGACATAGAGAGAATACAGGAAGATATAAATGAAGTAGGGAAGAAACGAATGGAAAACGAGGGAATAAAGGATGAAATTAATGGAATGGAAGAAGTACCGAAGGAATTGGAACTAATAAGGGAAGAAATGGAGGGAGTGGGGAAGAAATGAATGGAATAGGGGAAAGTATGAAGAGTATAAGGAAGAAATAAAGAGACTAGGGAAGAAATGGAGAGAATGGGGAAGAAATGAAGAGAATAGCGAAGAAATGAGTGGAAGATGATAGAAGGCAGATTACATAGCAATACGGAAGGATACAGGACAATGAAGAAGGATACAGAAGGAACAAGAAAGGATACAGGGGAATGACTCAGAGTACAGAGGAGAATAGAATGAGGGGAATGAGAAAGGAAATAGGAGAAGATTGAAGGAAAATAAGAAGTATTATACAAATGAATGAAGGAAAATAAAAAGCAAAATACAAAAGAAGGGAGAAGGATACAGAATGAAAGATGAAAGAAAAGATGAAAAGACACAGGGAAGGATACAGAGTAATAAAGACGGACTCGAGGAATAAATAGAAAGATGAATAAAGGGTGTGAGAGGTAGAATACAAAAAGTGAGAGGGATACAGAGTGAGGCAAATACAAGGAATGAGAGGGATACAGAGAGTGAGAGTAACACAAGAGACAGTGAGAGGTAGAATACAAGAGGTGATAAAATACAGAGAAGTGATACAAGAATGACTGGGATACAGAGAGGAGAGGTAGAATACAAGAATAGAGAGGACACAATTAGCGAGATACAGAGAGTGAGAGGCAGTATACAAAAAGTAAGAGCTAGGATACAAGGTAAGGCGGATACAGCGATTAAGAGGTAGGAGAAGGAGAGAAAAAAGAGAGGAGAGGCAAGGAAAAGAGAGGTAAAGAGAGCGAGAGGTGAGATGAAGGATACAAGGAGGAGAGAGAGGATACAAGGTGAGAGGGAAGATACAAGGAATGAGAGAGGACAAGGGTGAGAGAGAATAAGAGATGAGAGGGGAAGACAAGGAGTGAGAGAGAGGACAAGGGTGAGAGGAAGGATACAAGGACTGAAAATAGGAGGGCAAGAGAGGAGGATACAAGGTGAGAGGGGAGGACAAGGAGAGAGAGGACAAGGAGAGAGGGGAGGATAAGGGGTGAGAGGGAGGACACAAGGTGAGAGGGAGGACAAGGTGGGAGGACAAGGAGAGAGAGATAAGGAGGAGAGAGGACAAGAAGGAGGGGAGACACAAGGGGTGAAAGGGAGGGATAAGGAGAGGGGAGGGAGTGAGAGGGACAAGGGTGAGGGAGGATATAAGGAATGAGAGGAGGATACAGAGAGAGAGGATACAAGGGGTAGAGGAGGACAAGGGTGAGAGGAAGGGATACAAGGGGTGAGAGGGGAGAAGGACAAGGTGAGGGAAGATACAAGGTGAGAGGATACAAGAGTGAGAGAGGACACAAGGGGTGAGAGGAGGATACAAGGAGAGAGAAATACAAGGAGAGAGACACAGAGAGGACAAGGTGAGAGGACACAAGATGAGAGGAGGACAAGGAGAGACAAGGAGAGAGAGAGGGATAAGGAGTCAGAGAGAGAGATACAAGGGGGAGGGAGGGCATAGAGAGGACAGAGGGAGAGGGAGGACAAGAGTGAGAGAGAGGGTGGGAGGACAAGGGAGGGGAGAGAGAAGATACAAGGGGGAGGGGAGGATAAGGGGGAAGAGGAGACAAGGGGTGAGAGGGAGATACAAGGTGAGAGGGAGGATACAAGGTGAGAGGAATACAGAGGAGAGGGAGGACACAAGAAGGAGAGAGAGAGGATACAGGGGAGGAGGGAGGACAAGGGGTAAGAGGATAAGGTGAGAGAGGAGGATACAAGGGTGAGAGGACACAAGGTGAGAGGGAAGAAGAAGGAGGATGACACAAAAGAGAGAGAGACAAGAAGAGAGAGAGAGGACACAGGGGTGAGAGGGAGGACAAGGTGAGGGGAGGAGATACAAGGGGTGAGAGGAAGACAAAGGTGAGAGGGGAGGACAAGGGGTGAGAGAGAGGATACAAGAAGTGAGAGAGAGGATACAAAGGGT